GGCAGTGTAGCCGAGTAGAGCTACTGCACGGGAGAGATAAACGTCTATAACCACGCAGGTAGCGAGTAGAGCTAACTGGCACAGGCAGAGCTAAACGTTTAACACGAGGCAGTGTAAGCGGTAGAGCTAATGCACAGGGGAGATAACGTTATTGACCAGCAGGCGGTAGCGGTAGAGCTAACTGCACTGAACAGTCATAACCGTTTAACCACGGAAGTGTAGCGAGTTAGAGGCTAACTGCACAGAGAGATAACGTCATAACCACGGCAGTTCAGCGAAGTAGAGCTAACTGACAGGGAGAGATTAACGTTATAACCAACGGCGGTGTATCGAGTAGCAGTAAACGGCAGAGAGAGCATAAAGCGGTATATAACCACGGCAGGTGTAGCGGAGTAGAGCTAACTGCACCAAGGGAGAGATAAACGTTAATAACCACGGCGTGTAGCGCAGTTAGCAGTACACTGCACGATGAACAGTATAACGTTATAAACCACGGGCAGTGTAGCGAGCAGAGTAACTGCACAGAGACGATAACGTTATAACAAACGCGTGGTATCCGAAGTTAGAGCCTAACTGCACAGGCAGAGTAAACGTTTCAACACGGCGCTGTAGGCGTAGAGCTAATGCCAGGGACGAGATAATAAACTTTATAACACGCAGTGTAAGCGCGTAGAGCCTACTGCCACAGCGGAAGCAGATAAACGTTATAACCCACAGGCAGTGTAGCGCAGCAAGTGCTAACTGCACAGCGGAGAGATAACGTTATAACCCCGAGCAGTGTAGCGAGTAGAGCTACTGCACACGGGAGAGATAAACTTATTAACAACGGCAGGTAGCGCAGTAGTAGCTAGCTGCACAGGGAAGAGATAACGTTATACACCGCAGTGTAGCGAAGTCGCAGCTACAACCTGCCACACAGGAGACCGAGAATAGAACGTTTTAACAACGGCAGTGTAAGCGAAGTAGAGCTAATCATGCCATGACAGTATAAAGTTTAACACCGGCAGATGTAGATTTGGTGCGGTAGAGCTAACTGCACAGGAGAGTTAACGTTATAACACGGCGATGCTAGCGAGTAGAGCTAACTGCACAGCGGAACGAGATAACCGTTATAACAACGGCAGTGTAGGAGTTAGAGTAACTGCACAGGAGAGATGAAACGTTATACAGGCAGTGTAGGCGGAGAGCTACTGCACAGGAGAGAAATAACGTTATACCACGGCGGGTAGCGAGCAGGCACTGCACATGAACGATAAACGTTAATAGCCACGGCAGTGTAGCGAGTAGAGTACTGCACGAGGGAGAGATAAATCATATAACCACGGACAATGTGCGAGATAGCAGCTAACTGCCACGGGGAGAGCTAACGTTATAACACGGCAGTGGCGATCTAGCGGAGCAGTGCGAAAATGCACAGCGGAGGAATAAACGTATATAGCACGGCGTGTAGCGAGTAGAGCTTAACTGCACAGGGGAGATACGTTTTTAACCACGCAGTGTAAGCGAGTAGAGCTAACTTGCACAGGTGAGAGAGTAAACGTTAATAGACCACGGCCGTGTAGCGAGTAGAGATAATGCAGGCAGGGAGAGATAAACGTTATAACCACGGCAGTGTAGCGAGTAGAAGCTAACTGCCAGGAGCAGATCAACGTGTATAACACGAGCAGTGCTACGAGTAGAGCTAACTGCACAGGAGAGATAAACTATAATACCACCGCAGTGCGTGTAGCGAGTTAGAGCTAACTGACAATGAACAGTAAACGTTATAACACGCAGATGTAGCGAGTAGAGCTACTGAACACAGGGAGAGATTAACGTTATACCACAGGCATGTAGCGAAGTAGAGCTAACTGCACAGGGAAGATAAACGCTATATACCACGGCCGTGTAGCGAGAGTAGAGCTAACTGCACAGGGAGAGAATAAACGTTATAACCACGCGCAGGTAGCGAGTAGAGCTTAACTGCCGGGAAGAGAATAAGCGTTATAACCACGGCCAGGGGTGAGCGAGTAGAGCTAACTGCACAGGAAGAGAAACTATAACAACGCAGTGGTAGCGGCAGTAGAGCTAAACATGCACACGGACGAGATAAACGTATATAACAACGGCAGCTGTAGCGGTAGAGCTAGCTGCACAGGGACAGGAGATAAACGTTTAATAACCACGGCGTGAATGTTTAACTAGCGACGTAGAGCCTAATGCACAGGGAGAGATAACGTCTATAAAACAACGGCAGTGTAGCGAGTAGAAGCTAACTGCCACAAATGAACAGTAAACGTTAGAACACCAGGCGGTGTAGCGAGTAGAGCTACTGCACAGGGAGAGAATAAACCGTTAAGAACACGGCCGCTGTGCGGTAGAGCTAACTGCATCAGGAGAGGATAAACGTTATAACCACGGCGCAGCCTGTAGCGACAGTAGCTAACTGCCAGAAAAGGTAAACGTTATAACCCGCATTGTGCGAGTAGAGACTAACTGCACAGGGCAGAGTAAACTTATAACACGGCCAGCTGTGCTAGTAGAGCTAATGCACCATTTTGAAAAAAAACAGGAATTGTTGTATGGGATCTGTCGTGGATCGTGGTTTGTTTTGGTTGCGGAGTTTGTGTGTTTGTGTTTTTGTGATGGTTTTGGTTCTGTGTGCGCGTAGACTAACATTTTTTTAAGCTGTTTTTCTATCTTATAGTTAATCTC